CACACACACACACACACACACACACACACACACACACACACACACACTTTACAGTATTGCATTACAGTCTTGGGCTTTTCCAGATCCACCATCCTTTTCTCTGTGTGTCTGCTCTTTGTGTGTTATCTTTGTGTTACATCATCCTTTGAGAGAGCAGAAAATCCCCAAACTGTGTGCCGGTGTTAACTTAATTAAAATAGCTCGTGCAACACACACGAGCGCTTCATTCCAATCTGCTGACATTAAAACACACCAACGTGTAGCGTTTAAACTGCACACGTTTTAATCACACAAAGACGTGGGCCGTGTTTCCAAACCGCTTTGACTTTTAACCCTTTAAGACAAACGTACGCTGCTCGTCATTGATCTGCTGATTGTGACGATAGTTAATCCCAACAAACAAAATGTCCCATTTTTTAAATAATTTGCAAGAAAATAAAAGCTTCAAAACATCAGAGTGAAGAATGAAAACAATAAACTGTGAAAAGTATTTATTTCTTCTTTCGGCCTTGATAATCATCTCAGGATCTTATGATCCAGATTTATTCTTCTGATTAATGTCTCCTGAAACAACAGATAAAGAGACAAATGTTTACTTTGAATAATTTGAAGAATTATTTTTAAAAGTAAAGTGACTTCATGGAGGTTAAATGGATTCAATGAATGAGTCTGTAGGTGGATCTTTATTATTATTATAAAATGTTCAATGCACATTATTAAAATAGTTTGTATTCCAAGCTGTAAATTGTACTTAATTTCAATAACAATGCAATTTATTTTATTTCATGTTGTCCTTTTCATGTGTATTTTCTACGTGTCCACTACACATTTCAGACAGAATGTTGTACTTTTTACTTCTCTACAGTTATTTGACAGCTTTAATGCTATTTGGGCATTTCTCACTATTTTTACTGTTATTTTAAATTTTACAAACTTAACATTAAACTGATTCATAATAATCAATCGATAACATAATGGAAACATTCATCTGTTGCAGTTTGATACAAACATAGTATTTATTTTCGATGCAGGACTTTTACGTGTTGTGAAGTATTTTCACAGTGTGGTATGTGTACTTGTACTCCAGTAAAGGATCTGAATACTTCCTCCACCACTGCTGTTGATAACTTGGTCTCATAGGGAAGCATTCACTGATATAAGTCCTTTATTATTAGGGGGAAAGTCAAGTCTATCTGCTTATATATACAGAACACACGAGAAGTCCTGTCAGAGTAAAGGTTACAAATCACAAACACAAGTCTCAGCCGAACACTGTGACAGTATTAAAACACAGCAGTTACTTCATCAAGATGTTCAGGAAAAGGGGAAACACCGATGATGCAACAAGAAAAATGAAAACAATGTTGTCTCCGTCAGAGGAAGTTCTCCGGAGGGTGACGTCATGTGGAAACGGGAACTTTAAACCCTAAAGAGAGAAAAGGAAACAGGGAGGAGAGTGAAGAGGAGGAGCTTTCTTTTTCTGTTCAGTATTTTACCGGAAGATGTCGTAACTCGAAGAATTTCCATGAAGCGGCACAAAAAGCCCGCAGACGTCCAGCTTCTCCTTTTACAGAATCCGTCACCTGACGAGCTTAAAGAGGATATTATAATGATGGGAATAAAGACTGTTCTGTCTTTCACACGGAGTTTTACATGCAGGCTATATGCCTTTCGTACGATATGTTGTTCTAGTCCTTTGTGACAGGGACAACGCTGTAAACCCGTATTTGACTTATTTAAGTTGATGCTCCTGTGGAGGGAAAACAATCTCCTTTAACTTAATCAACTCTGGTATGTCGCCACACACTGTGGTAGATAAGATCACAACATGTGGCAACTGGCCCCATTATTAGCTCATCAAGTAATCAATGAAGATGAGCAGTTGTTGGTTGTCTGAAGACTTTTTCTTCCTATATACTGTATATATATATATATATATATATATATATATATATATATATATA